AGCTTCCCACAGGGGGGGGGCTCATCACGCCAAGCCGCATCATTTCCAGAAAGTTCACAATGTAGAACTGGCGATCCAAGGAAGTAATAACCCTCATTACAAGAACAGTGAGCCTCTGAACCAAACTGGAAACTTCCATCTAGCCTCGATTGAGGCATAAAGCATTTACTGAATGCTTTATAAACAACCCTGGGGTGGAAGAACTGAAGAAATAACTTCAAAGGATTTTGCCATGTGCAACAGTGATAGGTCACATGACCAATCGTTTCCCTTGCCCGGGAAGAGGGAAAGGATGGCTCTGCTAGTTGTGGACATGAACTTCTCATACAAATCTCATACATGGGAGGAGGTGCCCATGTATTATCAGGCTGACTAACGGTAGAGGCGGGACGAACAAGAGGAACAATACGCCAGTATCCTAAGCGACACTCATGTTCTACTGTGAACCCAGCATTAAAAGGGGGTGCGGGCCCTAACCGGTTTGGCTCAGCGGATAGAGCATTGGCCTGCGGACTCAAGGGTCCCAGGTTCGATTCCAGTCAAGGGCATGTACTTTGGTTGCGGGCGCGTCCCCTGTGGGGGGTGTGCGGGAGGCAGCTGATCAATGTTTCTAACTCTCTATCCCTCTCCCTTCCTCTCTGTAAAAAAATCAATAAAACAGATTTAAAAAAAAAGGAGACACATTAACAAGAGAAAACATTTGATAACATGCGTACTTGGGAGCTAGGAGTTACCCAGGGAAACTGAGTAACTCACCAAAATGCCTGAAGCCATCACCTTAAATACCATCTTTAAGACAAAGGATGTTGGGCAGTGGTTCTCAACCTTGGCTGCACATTAGAATCACCTGGAATCTTTTTAAAATCCTGATTTCTGGAAAACATCCTCCGGAAATTCTGTTTCTTTGTTACTAATGTTGTGGCCCCACCCCATAACACAGAAACCACCACACAATAAAATACTACACAGTAAGTCAATCAATGATTCTCTCTCATCATTGATGTTTCTATCTCTGTCCTCTCCCTTCCTCTCTGTAAAAAATCAATAAAAAATATATTTTTTAAAAAATACTGATTTCTGGGCCTCATCCTCCGGAAATTGTTTCTTTGTTACTAATGTTGTGGCCTCACCCCATAACAAAGAAACAATTTCCGGAGGATGAGGCCCAGATATCAGGATTTTAAAAAGATTTCCAGGTGATTCTAATGTGCAGCCAAGGTTGAGAACCACTGATGTTGGGGTTGGGGGAAAGGGCCATAAACAAGGGGTAAGGTTGTTATGCAAATTTCAGTCAAGGTCTTCTACACTGATAAGACTTTCTAGAGATAAGGTCCTTCCCCCTCTTCCTGGTACACTGAGGAAGACACACTTACAAATGGAGAAGTCCCTACAAGCACAAATATCTTTGTTACAAAGAGTAACTTCTACTTGGTTTTCAGAGCTTCTTCCAAGTCAGAAGGTTTCTTAAAATTAACCAGCCTAAAATAATCCTTATGCTAAAGAGACATATTTGTGGGTGACAAATTCTGTTCCCTTACAGCTCCCAGGCTACAAACCAGAACAGCATGTCACTGTTCTGGATACTGTAGGCACTTGTAACATAATGGTATTTGTGTAATGCATTTTGCTACATCACTAAATGATAGGAATTTTACAACGGCATAGTATTTTTTTAAATGTATTTTTATTGATTTCAGAGAGGAAGGAAGAGGGAGATAGATAAAAACATCCATGATGAGAGAGAATCATGGATCGGCTGCCTCCTGCAAGTCCCCCACTGGGGATTGAGCCCACAACCCGGGCATGTGCCCTTTACTGAAATCGAACCTGGGACCTTTCAGTTCGCAGGCTGACACTCTATCCACTGAGCCAAATCAACTAGGCTGCATGATCTTTTTAAAAAAATATTTTTTAGCCCTCCCTAGCCGGTTTGGCTCAGTGGATAGAGCCTTGGCCTGTGGACTGAAGGGCCCCTGGTTCGATTCCAGTCAAGGGCACATGCCTCAGTTTTGGGCTTGTGCATCTAAGCATTCTTTTTTTTTTTTTTTCCGAATTAAAGAGTCACATTTATTGCAATCCGGGACTATGAGGGGCAATTCCCCAAATCTCAATAGTCCTAAGAAGCATTCTAAAAATGTGTGCACAATGAAGGAAACTTGTGCTGTTTTGTTTATATGTTATATTAGGCTTTTCAAAACGAAGCTAAATGCACCCCAAATATGTCCCAGATGGCAGTGCTCTACATGGGTCCCTTTTTTTTCTGGCATTCTATGCCTTTCGGTCTGTTGTGCAGGAGGCAGCCGATCAGTGATTTGCTCTCATCATTGATATTTCTATCTCTCCCTTCCTATCTGAAATCAATAAAAAAATATATACTTAAAAATATTTTTGATTTCAGAGAGGGAGAGATAGAAACATCAATGATGAGTGTCTGTCTTCTCCTCTACATGTCATTGGCCCCCAATTGTGTGTGTGTGTTTGGGGGGGGCAGTACTGAGGGGTTGTGCAGCAAGCTTTGGTTTATGGTTTGAATTCCTTGGTCAAGTAAATTAGGCAATGCCAGTGGCTGTGGGTTTGTCCTTGGAGAAAATGTGGGCCTGACAAGACATTCTGGAGGGCTTTGCTGGAGAAATAAAAGCTACCTTTTCTGTCTTCTCTGGAGCCCTTCATTCTCATAACTTTGTTCCTGTTGGTATAAACTCGGAAAGGTAAGATGTTGCATCCACCTGCTTAGAGCAGACCCAGGTCCTGGCCCTTTTCAAATTCATCCCACATTTAACTTAAGGATTTGGAACATGCAGTGACAGGTTACATAGTTCTGTTTTATATCCTATTGTATTATTTTTTTTTCATGTTTGAAAACAGTTATGATAGTCCTTTGGGGGAGAATCCAGTATTGGCAAAGTTAAATATATTTTTAAAAAAATATATTTTATTGATTTTTTAGAGAGGAAAGGAGCGGGGTAGAGAGAAACATCAATGATGAGAATCATTGATTGGCTGCCTCCTGCATGCCTCCCACTGGGGATCAAGCATGCAACCCAGGCATGTGCCCTTGGCTGGAATGGAACCCGGGACCCCTCAGTCCACAGGCCGACACTCTATCCATTGAGCCAAACCAGCTAGGGCTAAATGTATTTTAAACAGAAAGTTTTTAGAATGTTGAAAAGTAATTGAAAAAAGTGATGAGTAAATGTCTAGGCCAAGATATTCCAATAAACCTTTCAGAAGCCTTAGAAAAAAAAGAAAAAGAAACATCAATGATGAAAGAGAATCATTGATTGGCTGCCTCCTGCGTGCCCCACACAGGGGATAGAGCCCGCAACCTGGGCAAGTGAACGCTGCCAGTCAGGCTACATCTGCATAATCTTATGGGACCACTGTCCCATATGCAGTCCTTTAAAGACCAACACGACTTTTTAGGAAAAGTATGTTTTTATTGATTTCAGAGAGAGAGGGAGAGGTAGAGATACCCTGACTAGGGATTGAACACCAGCAACCCTTCAGTGCATGTGGTGCATGGGATGACACTCAACCAACTGAGCCACACCAGCCAGGGTCAAACGTCTTTAAGTAGTGCATGACTGTATAGTGAGAGGAAGGGCAAGTTCAGGATTAGAAAGCCTAGAGGTGACCCCATTTCTACATCATATCCAGTGTGGCTTTGGGGTGAGGGAGAGAAGCCAGTTACACGCCCTGAAATGGAAGGGAATAGGCTAAAACTGCAGCAAGAAAGCTGGAGGTGAGATATTAGGAAACACTTCCTCGCTCAAGAGCACAGGTGGATGGACAAGGGGACTTTGGAGTTCTCTGGGGGAAACCAGGGTTGAAGGACTGGAGGCACAGCTGTTAGGGGTCCTAGAGAGGCAGGACTTATGTTGGGACAAAGTGGGTAGAGGAAAACATCTAGCCTCAAACCCATCCTCAAGGAAGCCGGTGGGCGAAGGACACTGGGATCCAACAGATTGTCCTCAGCCCCACGCTATCTGTTGGACAGAAGTCAGAGGCTCTGGGAGAGTTCATCCTGGAGTCTGGACAGAAGTGGGTGTGGGGCCCCTCGGATATTAGACTGCCAGGAATAAACAGACCTCCTTCTGTTCCCAGCTCTGGCCTCCTCCCTGAGGGATCCAGGATGTCTGTGTTTCTTCTTGCTGCTCTGTCTAAACACTGTGTGTGGGATGACGTGTGAAGGGGGAACAGCTTAGGCGGTGGGAATTGGGAAGCCTGGGTTCTATCCCCTGCTCCCTCAGCCATTTCTTCCTTACTGGATCATCCAATTCCTCTCTGCTCCCCCACAATCCCTGTGACTGACTCATCTGCCATTTCTCCTTTACCCAAAGGAGTCCTAGTGCAGGCAGCTTGCAGATGCTCCACTGAGCTGACTCTG